TTCACTATAATTCCCATCACTTTGGGCTAAGTTCTCCACAAGATCTAGGCCTTCATCTACATTCTTTGATAGGAAGTTCCCATTGGAGGCAGTATCAAGCAGCATCCTGATCTTGGGGAGAGCGCCTCTATATAGGGTTGAGAGTAGTGAAGCTTGTGGAATTCATGGTGAGGGCATTGCAGTGTGTATCCTTTGAATCTCTCCCATGCTTCACCAAAACTCTCACTATTCTTCTGAGCAAAACCAGATATTTCATTCTTGATTCTAGCAGTTCTTGAAGTAGAGAAGAACTTTGCTAGAAAATCTTTCTTGCACTCATCCCAGATGGTGATACTTCCTTGTGGCAAGTTTTTCTCCCATTGGTGGGCTTTGTCTCCAAGAGAGAAAAGAAACAACCTGAGCTTGAATCTTTCTTCGCTGACTCCATTGATCTTGCTTAGTGAGCAAAGTCGGTCAAAATTATCCAAGTGATCCAAAGGGTATTCAAGTGGTAACCCATGTAATTTGCTGCCTTGAACCATTGAAATCAATCCAGATTTGATCTCAAATTTGTTGTTCTGAACTGCTGGAGGAAGGATTCCAGTTCGGTTGTTGTAAGCGTTTGGTGCATCACCAGCTCCAATGGGTCTGATTGGGCGTGCACTATGTGCTGGTCCTTTCTGATCTTGTTCACTTTGGACTCCCTGCTGTCCCTGAACTCCAGTAATTCCTTGAGCACCTTGCGCTCCTGGTGGTCCATGAAACCGCTGGTCATCTATACCATGCTCCATGTTGAGTTGATGAAGCCTTTGCAGTCTCTCTCTTTCTCTTGTAGCTTTAAGTGCTCTTTCCACTTGCATAATGTTGTGTTGATAGTCCAGAAGGTTTTGATAGCCTTTAGACCTCAAGTTCATACACCTATAAGCAGAAGAGCAGCTTGCAAATCAGTAACAAACAGAAAAAATAAAAGCTTGATCTTAGACAATCCACAAATCCTAATGCTTAAGCTAAACCCATGTGTCAACGGCACCAATTTAATAGCAGGATTCTTCTAGCTAGCAAATCCTACATATACTCATATCATTGTAGTATGTAGGTAACAATCCATCTGATATCTTAAGGCACTAAGAATACAGCAAATCATTTAAGTTAAGCAAAATTCAAAATGGCAGTTGTGAACAATACTAACAAGTCTAAAGACTAAACTAAGCAAGCAAGAAATTCAAATAGAAGAAGTAAGGATCTAAGATGGGGGTTATTGATTAAGAGGGGATTATAACATAACTAGTGATGCTTCAAAATCAATCAAACAATGCTATCTTCTAGGCATATGATTAACAACTATAACTAGCTCAATTCCTTGACACTAATCACTTTGCTAAGCACACATTTAAGATAAATCCCTTAACTCAAATACATTATAAGCAAGCATTCAGAACAGAACTCCAATCCTATAATGCCAAAATGCACCGTAGACATATAATTCCTTAGGCTAAGCATACAAATCCACTAAGAGACTCTAAGCAACATTTCATCAAACACTTACCAGGCGCTAGAGAAAGCCAAGATACTAAACAAGTCTGGCCAAGGCTAATCTAGTGTTAAGCACATCTAATACAGAGAAGATAATCATATTAAGAACAAGACATCACTAATCTAGTCCTAAAACCCCTCTAATCTATCCCATCTCAAACCCTAAATAAGACTACTCACTAGCCATAGTCAAAACAACAAATTCCAGAGGGAAATGATGGTTAAGCATGATTAGGAAGCACAATAAACAAGAATATATCAAAAGCAAATACATAAATTCACTAAATCAAACTAGTTCTTACAAGCAAAGCTGAAAAAGGAAAGGTTTTAAGTGCAAGAACATAAAGAAAATAACAAGATCCAAGTTGCCTAACCATTTTAGGACTTTAGTATTTATAGGGGAACTAGAAAACCCCTAGTAAACCAAGATTAAACCAAAAGTAAGCTGACTCGGACAGACCATATCGACATGGAATATCGATATACATGAGATATCTTCTCTTCTTCTGGGTTGTATCGATGCCTCTTGGTCGATATGCATGTCGATACAGAAGGCTTCCAGGTTGTATCGGTTTGGCTCTCCAAGGTGTGAAGTCGATACAATCGCCCTTTAGGTAAGGCTTATTGGTCAAGCAAGTCGATATGGATCCTCAGTATTGCCATGTCATATGTATCGGTCTGGGACATCGATACACAGCTCGATATGGACTCCATTCTGCTGCATCGAGGTGTCTAAGTCGATATGCTTCCTTCACACTTTGCTTATTCTGTATCGATGTTGTAGTGGTCGATACTCCCATCGATATGCTCTGTATCGATCACATGATGTTGATATCATCATCGATATTGGTCCATCCGCCTTTGTCTCTTGCCTTGCTCCATTCCCAGCTCACACCCATTGCACCACATGGCCTCCACACTCCTTCAAGAACATGAATAAAACTCCAAATGCATTCAAAATGCAGTGCAACTCCTAAAACAACAATAACTCCTAAATGCATGGCAATGCGACAAGAAGAAGCAAAATATGCATTTTTAGAGACTAAAACTAGTGATGAATGCAAGCTAAACTGGTATAAATAATGGAGATATCAAAAGGCACAAAGGGAGCTTTAATGTGGTGTTACATATGGAGCTTAACTCGTGGGGGAGTATTGGTTGTACAAATGGAGCTTAACTCATGAGGGAGTTTTTTTACTTTGAGGATGTGTATTGAAGAATTCTACTGTATTTTTCTTTTAGGTGCGAGTGTTTAAGAACAGAATACTTGAGTATCAAACTAAGCTAAAAAGGGGAAGATTGGTATATTGAAGATTGTTAGATCTTGTGAGCTTGGTGCTGATGCAATTAGATGATGTAAGCGAAAAGCAAATACATAGAATGATGGCTAGACTAATGTTTGGAGAGAACTCATGTTGTTGGGTTCTAATACTCAGTCATTAAGGGGGAGATTGTTGATGTATTGCCGACTGCTTTTAGAACCTGATGGAACAAGTCATGGTACAGGTACTGCAGATGAAACAGAGGTACAAAGATAAAAGTGATGCAGCCTCTAAGACAGTTCGTTATGTGATACATGAAGCAGGATCAACTTAGATGAGGTGTCAGTTTGGTACAGAGACATTGATCTAGAACCATCATCATAAGTATGTTGTGATGGCAAAGATGGTGTAGATCCTAGAACTTGATATGTGTGATGCATGTTGACATATCTTGGAGAAGAAGATGTACATGATCAACATATGGAAAGTTCAAAGAAAAGGGAAAAGTAATTTGTCCTTGGAAGTTAAGTAAAGAAAGGTTGTGGACCTTGATTCAAGATAAGCCCAATTGCTTGTAGAGATTTGAAACGTGGCTTAAGTCGTCTAAGGTTCTTGGCACATGGTTATGAATACCTAGGCCGTCTCATGAAGACTGCGCACGCCTAGGGCATTATTGACAGAGGCACACGTGGGTGTGGCATCGCCCTCACCAGACAGACAAGATGTAGATCTATAAGCTCTATTGGTGGTGTTCCTATGAATAGAGCAATTCGCAGACAAATAGGATGTGTGAGGATTCGCAGTAGGATTTCATGTAGAAAAGATTGCATACAATCATGTAATTGTTATCTTGTTCTAATGGAATTATTCTGGACGAGGTCCCAGGGATGTAGGGAAACTGAACCCCGTTAACAAACTTGTGTGTTATTTACTTTATGCAGTTGTCATGGTTGCTTATATCGTATGAACGTAGATCTAGTTTGAATCCAAACTTACATTCCTGAATATTTTTTGTTAATATTTCGTGATCTTTTTTAAAGGTCCTAAGCACTAAATTGCAACATCATTCCATCCTAATTTTTTAAAAATTTAGAAAAACTTTTCTAATTCGGGAAGGGTTTCTTAAATTTTCTAAAAGTCCTAGATATATTAAGGATATGCTTCCTGAATATAAGAAAATTTACTAAAAATCTTTAAAGATTTATATAGACATTTTTAGAGGTGTATCATATGCAAATCACTTTCCACTTAATCAAGATAAGCAAAACGAAGAGGTATGATATCAAAATAATTTAATACAACATAGTCTGGAAAGGCTTCATGAATCTATAGGAAAGCTTTCTAAAGGTTGTCCAGAACGAAATCATACCTAAAATTTACAATTTTCTCCCAGCTTGAAAACCTAATCACCCAATTGGAGTCTTATATGTCAGATCTGTCGTCTATAGTAAACTCTGTGGTGGTAGAGAAGAACAACATATCTGGAAAAAGCTTCATGAATATATAGAAAAGCTTCCTAAAGGTCTTCCAAAACCAATTCGTATCCAAAATCAATATTTTCTCCCAACTCGAAAACCTAATCACCTAATTGCCGCAGATATTGCCGATTCAGCTTTTTTCCGGCCAGATTGGAGTCATCTATGCTGGATATCGCCCATAGTGAACTTTGTGGTGATAGAGAAAAATAAATCTGGAATCTGAATCTTGGAAAGAAAATCACCATTGATGAGATCCTAAAGGATCCTTGGTTCTCTTCCTTTTCTGATGATGAATGAAAATATATATATGAGATAATCTGATGATGAACGGAGATTTGATTGGAGATGATGCGAATGAGAGATTTGGTGGGCAATTTTACAAATGGGGGATGATAGCATCGAGAGTTTTAATCTGAAGATAAAAATTTCAAAATAAGTTTTTTGTTTCTTAAATAAATTATACTATTATTTAAATATAAATAATATAATCAGTTTATGTGAAAAATATTATAATGTGAAAATTTTCTGACTTGTATTAATTTTTGAATCATTTTAAAGAATTTTTTTTTAAAAATTATTAAAATTTTAAAATTATTCTTTTCGTTAAAATTAATTATTCGTCAAATTACAAAATCATTTTTTGGGGTCAAATTTGTGAAATTCCAAAATCACCCAATTTTCCAATTTTGTTTGTTGATGTTATTTCCTTGTTAATGTTCATTTGATCCAAAGAGTTCACAGTTTAGGCCTTAGAGGCCCAATTACAACTGGAATCCGACCCTTCGTGGTCAAAACCCGAAACCCGTTGTTCATCCTGAGACGACGAGAGACAGACACACAGAGAGAAAATCGGAGCTTGGAAGTTGGAAGGTTAAGCGAGATGAGCAGCTTTGCGATTCCATCTTCTTCTTCCTTCTCTCTTTCCAATGCTTATCATCAATCTTCTCGCCCTCGCTTCATTTTCCGCAATGCTCGCTCCAATGTTGATTTCTGCGGCTTACGATTCAGTGGAGAAGCTCGAAGAACCTCTTTAAGGTGCAATTGCTGTAGCAAAGGAAATGGAGGAAGTACAAGTTCAGGTGAGAATCACTTTGATTGTAAGCTTCGTTTTTGGAATTTCACCTTAGGGTTTTTTCTTCATAAAAGAGATTGTTTAATTTGAATAAGATTTCGAAATCAACATTGAGTTAATCGATTTTAAGGGTTTTAGTGGGTTGTCAGGCAAATGGATTGTATATGTTCTTCACAGCGATATTGGTTTTGATTCTAGGAGCTTCGTTTCTGGAATTTTATTTAGGGTTTATTCTTCATAAAAGAGAGTAGTTTGAATAAGATTCCCAATCAAATCAACATTGAATAAATGGAATTTTTAGGGTTTTAAACTTTTAATGGGTTCTTACTTCTTAGAGAAGTGGATTGCAAGTGTTCTTTGCAGTGAAATTGGGTTTGATTTAGGGAGTTTCTTGTACCATTATTAATGGGATTATTTTTGACAGGTGAAAACGAAAACAGAAGTGTGTTAGATGCTTTCTTTTTGGGAAAGGCACTAGCTGAGGTTATCAACGAGCGAATTGAGTCTACTGTTGGAGAAGTTCTGGGTACTATTGGAAGGTTTCAAGCTGAGCAACAGAAGCAAGTTCAAGAGATTCAGGTACTTTAACTCTCTATATATCTCTCTGTATTGCCTTTTTTTGGTCAATGATCCTCGTGAAAGAACGTTCTGGTGGATTTGAAATCTACAAGAATCGAACTAGAACTTCGTTTTGGTGATCAAAGAAGCTCATATCGCAAGATTGCCAGAATGGTTTGTGGAATCGACCAAAGGCAGACCTTTACTTGTTTCTTGGTGTAAGTATCTTGAGGTTTTAGCCCATGAATCTATCGGTTGCGTTTTGACTCACTGCGGTTGGAACTCGAGAAGGAAAGGTTTGAGTTTGGGCGTTCCGATGGTCGTTGGCCTCAATGGAGTCTATAACTCTCAACTAATTCCTAAACAAAATTCGAACTGCTCCCAACGCGTTCTCTCTGCACCACCCGTAGTAATGTTAACGTGGTTATGCGCTTAGAACACCTTATCACATTGCTACTTTCTGTTGGTATTGAAAACCACTTAACCATGTTCGAAATGTTAGTTATTAACAAGCTGAGAAGGTTTGTGAACTTTGTGCGCTTTGAAAAGATCGATAATTCGCAAGCTGTATGAATATGTCTAAGACGTACATAGAACGAAAATCTTGATAGTTGATAGATATTTTTTATATGCATTCACAGGAAGAGGTACTCGAAAGAGCCAAGAGAGCTAAGGAAAGAGCAGCTCGAGAGACCATGGAGACTCAAGGACTCTCTGCTCCCAAACCAGAAGCCATAACCCGGAAACCGGCTGCTGGTGTTGTCACCTATGTAGCTCCAATCTCTACGTCTGGAAGCAACGCTGTAAGTAATGAAAATCTGTCAGGTTTCTCCGGATCTTCAATTGGTGGTGTAGAGGAAAGCTCGAGTTCTAGTGATAAAGACAATGTTTAAACGATGGTCCCTAAGTCACTTTCAAGATTTGATAATAGTAGAAGAGACTTGTCTTAAACGGTTAAGAACAGCTTTGTTGATGATATACGTACTTGAAGCAATGAAAATTGAGAATAAATAAGTTTGATATAAAGTGAAATTATATTTCTTGTATTCTTCTTTTTGACGTCGAAAGTATTATTTCAATCATTAAATAATTGCCTAATGCGACAATTTTTCAAGTTCGGTCACTTTGAACCTTCATGGAGAATGTTCAATGTCCGATGTTAGAATGGAGGAATAAATAATTCATCAATGTCATTTTGAGAAAGCGATCGAAAAGTGCGATTTAGAGGAAACAGTGTCTTTTCTCGCAGCTGTTCGCCGAGGTCTCTTACGGTGCCGGCTACTTCAATCTTCTCCTGTTGCAGGCCCTCCTGATGTAGATTTTTAGCTTATCTCAATCCTTGATATTTTATGGTTTTTAATCATGATATAAGTTTTTTTTATTGAGTTTTTTTGGTCTTTTTAGAGTCCTAAAAGAGTTTTTGTAGGTTACAACATGTTTGAAGCATAATTGGAAATTTTGGAACCTTATGAAGCATTTTGAGTTGAAGCCACGAAGTACCAAGCTCGAAGCAGAAAGTATCCCATATGGTGACGCTCGTCACCCATCAAGGAAGGAGCGTGACTGTTTTATTAAAAATGTGAAGAAGATTTGTAGATTTGGCCCAGAAGTTCCATTATTTACAAGAAGACCCCATATCGTGTTTAGCCTCTATTTATTAGGTTTTTCAGCCATTGTTAGCCATCATCTAAGTTTTTGAGAATTCAGAGAGCTTAGAGAGAGATTTATTCAGAGCTTTTTGGAGACAAATCATGTACTCTTTTGAGAAGATTTCGAACCCCTCTATTTTTTTACTTTTTCTCTTAATGCAAGATTATTCAGTTATGCTTTGTGATCTCATAATCATGTCTGAGTAATCTGCTAGTTAAGTTAGGGCTTTTTCAAGGGTTGATGAAGAGATTGTAGAATCGCAATTCTTTTAGGAACATCTTTTGGTTTTTCATCTCTGCTTGCTTTAAAATCGAATTTCTGAGAAACATCATCTAGGAATCCAAAAATCTTAGGTTGTTAAATATATGTGAGAGCATTATTCAGAACCTGAACTAGTATTTGATGAGCAAAACAACTGTACAAAGAGATTTGGCTTAGGAGTTTTGTAAACAATTGAATCTGATCATTCCTGCATGCTTAGATTGTTAGGGTTTGTAAAGAGATTTGAAACTCTGTGATTTAGGCATAGATAACTTTTGCAATGAGAATTGATTAGTTATACATCAGTGATTCATGTTTAAAATGGTTCTTAATCATTCCTGATTTCATGCATTCTACATTTTTGGATTCAACCTGCGAACTGTCCTGACTTAGCGCTTTTAGTCTTCTGAAACTTAGATCATGTTACAAAATCGTTTGCTTACTATTATTCATTCATTCGCATTACATACATCATATCCTGCTTAGCTTAATCCGAACCTACAATCGATAGTGTAGTCTGCATTACTCTCTTGGGATTTCGATACCCCTTGTACTACAACTGCTTTGATGTGCACTTGCAGTAGTTTTATTTGGGTAAAACCTAAGCCCTATCAAATTTTTGGCGCCGTTGCCGAGGAGTAATAGCTGCCTATCGATTTTTAGTATTAGGATTTTGTCTAAGTTTTAATTTGTTTACTAACTTTCTGCTAATTTTCTTTGTTCCTGTTTCAGGTGTATGCCTAATCGCAGTACCAGAAGCAACAAAGAGAAGGAGCTTGTGACTTTGAGCATGGACGAACTAGCTAGGTTGGAGAGAACTAACAGGAAAGCTAAGAAGCAATCTACAATGGTGGCTCCACTTATCCTGGTTGAAGATGCAGAAGGTCACTTGGTTGACAGGGAAGGAAACAGGAGAAACGAAGAGGGGCAGAGAATTGATCAAGAGAGAAATGTCATTGTTGAAAAGCAGGTTCAACAAGTGAATGAGAATGTGGGTGTCCCTGCTGCTGCCAATAACGCTGCTGGGCGTTTTGTTCAGAGGACTCTAGGTGACTACAACAGACCTGATCAGTTCTATGCCAACAGAGCTGCAATCCGACCTCCTGCCTTCCAGAAGAACGATTTTGAGGTTAAACCTGTCTACTATCAGCTGGTTGGCCAGCATCCATTTCATAGCTTACCTCATGAGCATCCTATGGATCACATTGAGAGGTTTGAGGATTTAGCTTTCAGTGTCAAAGCTAATGGGGTTAGCAATAATTTTCTGTTCTGCAAGCTTTTCTCTTACTCTCTTGAAGGAGAAGTTGCATATTGGCTGAAGCAACTGGAGCCTGCTTCATTGACCACTTGGGAAGACACCAAGAATGCCTTTCTGAATAACTTCTATGATGATACAAGATCAGAGGACATGAGGACGAAAATTGCATCCTTTACACAATGCCCTACTGAAGCTTTTAAGGCTTCTTGGATCAGGTTCAAGTCTTATCAAAGGGACTGTCCTCATCGTGGCTTTAGTCAGGTGCAATTACTTGGGATTTTCTTTAGAGGCATTGACTGGAAGTATCAGATGGCGCTGGATGCAGCAAGTGCAGGAAACTTCAACACCAACAGACCAGAGGAGGCGATCAGACTGATTGAGAATTTGGTCTGCAGCAACAGCACTAAAAATGCAGACTTTCAGAGGATGAAACAAGCTGGTGTGGCTGATGGAAATCAGATTGCTGAAGTTAAGGCTAAGTTGGATGATATGCACAACCTTTTGGTGGGAAAGAAGTCAGTTCACTTTGCTGCAGAAGTGAAAACTTTCGAAGCTCCAGAGGAGGTTGAACAAGAGGATGTAAATTTCATCAATTCTGGTGGTTTTCAAGGTCAAAGGTATGGGAATCAGCAGTGGAACAGAGGATACAGCAACAACAATTAGAAGAACACCTTTACAAGAGGACAGAGCACGCCTGGTTTCACTCCTAAGCCCCCATTCCAGAACAGTGAGAATTACAGAAACTATGGTTCTTCTTCCTATCAACCAGCACCTCCACAAGGGAACAAAATGGAAGCAATGTTAGAACAGATCTTGAAAGGACAACAGAAGCTTACAGTGGACTTCAATGGCAAGATAGATTCGCTCTATCAGGATTTGAATGGAAAAATTGAGAGTCTGAACTCTCATATGAAGAAGCTTGATGTTCAAGTTGCCCAAACTGCAGGAGCTGTTCAGAGGCAAAAAGATTTCTTCCAGGAAGAACTGATGCTAATCCCAAACACCATGTGAATGCCATCACATTGAGGAGTGGAAAGAACCTGCAACCAGTGTTGCAGAAGGATTTAACCCCAAGGAATTTCGTGGGTATTGAAGAGTATGAATATGAAGAAATATCTGTTGAAGACCCATAGGTGACGCTCATCACCAATAATGGGTGTCGCTCGTCACCCATCGAGCATAACCCCGGCCCCAACTCTTCACAAATTGGTGACGACCGTCACCAGGAGGGTGATGCTCGTCACCCAAATCCAATGATCGATCCCGACTCGTCCAAAGTAAGTGACGCTCGTCACCATCCCAGTGATGCTCGTCACCAGACGCCATATGCTGCAGTTTTGCCTAAGCCTTCAGATAATGCTAAGGAGACCGTGTATAAACCCAAGATACCTTATCCCAAGCATCCTAAGAAGTCTAAGCAAGAGCTTGAAGATGCAAGATGCAATGCTATCATGGACAAGTTGGTTATAGAGATCCCATTGATTGATGCTGTAAGGATCACTCCTGTAATAAGGAGGTATGTGAAGAGGATGGTGACCAATAACTTGAGTCTAGAGGCTGGAGCTATGATGATCAATGAGCAGGTCAGTGCAGTGATTCGGAACAGAGTTCCAGATAAGCTTTCAGACCCAGGAAGTTTTGTTTTAGATTGCACAATCTTCAATGACAAGTTTGAGAGGTCATTGCGTGATCTTGGTTCTAGTGTGAACCTCATGCCTCATTCTGTTGCCAAGAGCTTCGGGATGATCGATTTTAAGGCTACAAGGATATCTCTTGTCATAGCTGATAGATCAGTCAGAGTTCTTGAAGGAGTGATAGAGGATGTTCCTATCAAAGTAGGAGATTGTATGATTCCTACTGATTTTATGGTTCTAGAGTATGGAGAAAAACCCAAAGATCTCTTGATTCTTGGCAGACCCTTCTTGGCTACTGCAGGAGCTATTATTGATGTCAGGAAGGGTAGAAATGTTGGTGATTTAGTGATGAAATTCGAAATGGACAAGCTGATGAAGAGGTCAACCATAGATGGACATACTTTTTATGTGGATGTTCTCACAAACATTGCTGATCAGATCTTCCATGAGATGAGTTCAGAGGATCCCTTGGAAATTGCGTTGACCACTTATACAGCAAAGTATGAGCATTTAGATGCTGCTGCAACAGGGTACACAAAGATGATGGATGCTACTGCTCAAGTGATGCAACTGGTTGCACGGGATGAGCTTGTCTCCACATCTGCGAAAGCTGCCACAATGGGTGATTGGTCTGCAGAAAAAACACAAAAAGTTGAGCTTAAACAGCTCTCTGCAGGGCTAAGGTACGCATTTCTTGGAGAAAACTCTACCTATCATGTTATTGTTAATGCTTCATTGAACAATGCAGAGCTCACCCTTTTGCTAAGCAAAAATTTCGCAAAGCTCTTGGCTACTCTCTTGATGACATTTCAGGTATCTCTCCAGACTTGTGCATGCATAGGATACACTTGGAGGATGAGTCGAAATCATCAGTTGAGCATCAGAGGAGGCTGAATCCGAATTTGTAGGATGTAGTCAAGAAAGAGATCATGAAGTTGTTGCAGGCTGGTATCATCTATCCTATATCAGACAGTGCTTGGGTTAGTCCAGTGCACGTGGTGCCTAAGAAAGGAGGTGTCACAGTGGTGAAGAATGACAAGGATGAGCTGATTCCAACCAGGACTGTCACAGGACACATGATGTGCATTGACTATAGGAAACTGAATGCAGCAACAAGGAAGGATCATTTTCCTCTGCCTTTCATCGATCAGATGCTGGAGAGGCTGGCGAATCACAAGTATTACTGCTTCCTTGATGGGTATTCAGGTTTCTTTCAGATCCCCATCCATCCAGATGATCAGGAGAAGACCACTTTTACCTGTCCCTATAACACTT